ATCTGCAAAGATGCATCTCATGAAATTGCATTTCCAGGGCATAATAAATAACTCACAGAACCTAGTCAGATGAACATAAATGCCTAATTTTAAAAATGAGGAAAAGACTTGAGCAGACAGTTGAGTGATCAACTTCACAGCCAATTGATCTACTAAAAGGTGCCCAATATCCTCAGTCATCAGGGAAATGCAAATTAAAACCACCAAGAGATAACACTGTGTGTGCTTTTAGAATGTCTAAAATTAAAAAGCTGGAAACTACCAAGTGTTGGGAAGGATAAGGGGAGTTGGAACTCATACCTGCTGAGGGAGTGTCAACTTGTGTGATTTCTTTGGAAAATGGTTTATAGGTCTCTTTAAAAGCTAAGTATGAACTGGGCACTGGTGGCTCATGCCTGTAAGTCTAGCTACTCAGGAGGCTGAGATCTGAAGATTGGGGTTCAAAGCCAGTCGGGCAGGAAAGTCCATGTGTGACTCTTACCAAAGAGCTAGAAGTTGAGCTATGGCTCAAGCGGTAGAGTGCTAACCTTGAGAAAAAGAAGCTCATAGACAGTGCCCACACTGGGGGGTGGGGGAGGAGGGTAGTAGAGGAAGAAGTTCAAAAAGTGGGGAAAGAAATGCACAACTACGATAATGAGGGAAACCTTGTTGGAGGTGCATTTCTTAGATGGGTACAGGGAGTGTGTTGGAGGGGGCAGAATTGATTGGAATATGGTGTAAACCTGCGGAGATGTAACAGTGCACACTCCCTCCTTGTATAATTGATACAAACCAAAAAGAAAAAAAAAACCATTAACTAAAAAAGCTGGAAAAGAATGCTTTTCCTTTCTTTTGACAGTCTCTCAGCTTGTCACAATAGTCTTCTGTTTCTATTTACAGTCATGTGCCCTCAGACAGGACAGGGTGAGCATAAACCCAAGAGGCACTGGCCCTCCCCAAAGCCAGGCCTCCAGCAGAGATGACATCAGGCCCACGTGGAGGCAGGGAGGGAGGCTGACAGCAGCTAGGGCTGGAGGGCATGGCATGAGGTGATCTGGAGACTGGGCGAGGCCCCACGCCTGGGGGATCTACCAGGCTTCACTGTATAAACAAATGCAAAGAAAAACAACCTTAGAAATGTCTGGATGGGGAATGCAGGAACATAAAGCCCAGGCACAGGCACTGCAGGCTGGGGCTGTGCACATCAGTGGGAGACACACCCAAGAGCCCTCCAGACACTGCTGGGGTCTTTGCTTACTGTCTCTCCGTGTGTGGCTTGCTTTCTTGTACACTATTCCTTCTTGCGAAACTTTCTCCTTGTTGCTATTGTTTTTGTTATTGTTATTTTGTGTCACGAGGGCTTTATCTCTGGGCTACCCCAGGGTCTTTTTCACCTTTGTTTTTGTCTTGCTGTTTTGGCCAGGCTGGCCCAGCCTGTGAGCCTCCCAAGTAGTTGGCACCACAGGTATCAACCACCACCAGACGATTTCGAAGAGTTTTTACATGAGGCTCGTGAATCGAAGATAAACTTTCAGGTATATTTTTGTTTCAGCTTCATTCTGAAAGATAGCTTTGTTCCATATTTAATTTTAGGATCATGGCTTTTCCCAAAGGACGTTGAATCTTCTACTCTGTTCTTTTCTTGCCATCTTTTATTTCTGTTGAGAGTAAATTTTCAGTATCTTAGTCAACATCTTGTAAGACCTCTAACTTTGTTGCTCTTCAGCTTCACAAATGACGTTCTTAGATACGCAATTTTGTTTTATTGATCATGGGTTTTATTTTTTAATTGCAGGATTTGCAATCCAGAATTCCTAGATTTACAAGTTAGGTTTTTCATCAGTGTGGACTATTCTTCCCAAATACTGTTTTCTCCCCCACCCTGACATCTCTGTTTTGGAAATGATGACTGATTTATCTTTTAATTCTGTTCCTCATATGTTTGAGTTTCCTTGTATATTTCCACACTTTGTATTCTCATTTTCTGTTCTCATCTTTCGGCTTTTTCAGCTGTGAGTAATCATTCACAGAGATACTCACTGTGTTTTTTATTTCAGTTGTCCTTTTCACTACTATACAGTCTAGTTACTTTTAAAGTTCATCACTCATGGAAGTCAATTTCCTCTAACATGTTAACCATGCTATTTTTTAATATAAGTGTTAGTAGGGTCCTTGACTTGTTCCAGATTTTTAGAAAGTTTTCAGCACTTTCTCATTCAGTGTACAGATTATACCTAGCATTTATTGTGTTGATAAAAGTTCTCCCTATACTAATGTGTTCAGTGTTATCATGAAGGGATGCTGAATTCCACTAAAGCCTTTTCTGTATCTATTGAAAGAATCTGATGGTTTGGTCCTTTCTGTTGCTGTGGTATATGTTTACTGATTTTCATAGGTCAAATTATACTGCTCCCTTGGATGAAAGTACCTTTGGATTCAGCCTGCTAATAGTTTGTTGAGGATTTTTGAATCTGTGTTTATTAAGGATACGGGCCTATAGCATTCTATTTTTGTTGTGTCCCTGTCTGGTTTTGGTTCAGGATAATGCTGGCCTTGTAGAATGTATTGGGGAAAGTCCCTCCTCTTGCGTTTACTTTGGCACAGTTTAGGAAGAATTGGTGCGAGCTCTTGAAGTGTTGGGTAGAACCCAGCAGTGAGGCGTATGGCCCTGAGCTCTCCCTTGATGAGAGACTTTTTATTTCTGATTCAGTCTGATTACTGTAATTGTTCTGTTCAAGTTTCCAACTTCTTTATGATTCAGTTGGTGAGATATATGTGTCCACAAATGAATCTAATTCTCAGGTGAGCCTTTGTATTTATTTGGGGTCAGCTGTAATGTCCCCCTTGTCTTATCTGATTTTATTTGAATATTCTTTCTTCTTTTTCTTTTTTTCTTTTTTTAGAGGGGGTCCAGTCGTGGGGCCTGAACTCTGGGCCTGGGCTCTTCAGCTCAAGGCTAGCACTCTACCACTTGAGCCACAGTGCCACTTCCGGCTTTTTTCTTTTTGCTTATGTGGTGCTGAGGAATCGAACCCAGGGCCTCATGCATGCAAGGCAAGGGCTCTACCACTGAGTCACCTTCCCAGCCCCCTCTTTTTTCTTTTTCTTAAAGTAGTTATGAGTTTATCCATTTTCTTTACCTTTTTGAAAAAAGTTCTTTTTAATTTTCATAATTTTTAGTATCTATTTTATTTATTTCTAGTTCCTTTGAGATACAGCATTGAATTATTTGGCATCTTTTTTTTTAATGTAGGCATTGAGTACTGTAGACTTTTACCCTGTTATACTGTTTTTATAGTGTTTCATAGGTTTTGGTATATTCTTTGTTTTTATTTGTTACAAGAAATAAACTTTTTCTTTTTCATCTCTTCCTTAATTCCATTGGTTGTTCACTAGTGAGTAGTATAATGTCCATCTATTTGTATATTTTTGCAAGTTAATTTCTAGTTATTGCACTGTGATTGAAAAAGATACTCAATATAATTTCAGTTTTTTAACTTGTTGATACCTGTTTTCTGACCCATTTCTATTGAATGAATGCTACAAAGAGAAAAGCAAGTCAAAGTTGACTTGAAAATTTCAAGCCCAAGGTTTGAAATTTAGAAGACTATTTAGAGAAGTTTTTATTTCAGTCGTCTTTTTCACTACTATACAGTCTAGTTACTTTTAAATTTCATCAGAAATTCCAACAGACAATGAGAATCCAAAATGTGGAAATATACAAGGAAGCTCAAACATGGGGAACAGAATTAAAAGACTTGAGACTATTTAGAAGAGTTTCAATTTATTGAAAATTATGAGAATATAGAAGAAAGGAAGATTGCAGGAGATGGTGATGAATTTGTTTCCTTGGTTTTTGGGGGTTTTTTGGAGATAGAAAGGGAATGGTAAAGGAAAATACAGGAATGGGGAGAAGGAACAAACCCTGGAGAAGTATCCTGACAGAAAATGGGTGTGGAGGCTCTCCAAGGAGGGAGGAGTCCTGGCCTACACATGGTTTTGTCACTACCTGTGACATTAAAGGCCTTCCCTTCAGTGTCCCTGTGAAATGTTCCCATGAATCTCTCATCCTTATTTCTACCCAGAGGAACACACACTAAGTATCAAGATCCATTTATGTCCTGTAATCCCAGCAATTGAGAGACAGAGGCAAGAGAATCATGCATTCAAGGCCAGCATGAACAATATAGAGAGGCCCGATTGTTTAAAAAAGCCCATTTACATAGATGAAAATGTCAAAATGTTCCTTATTTTCCCTTTTCCAATGTCTTACAGTTTGTATCCCATGTAACTCCTGATATTGCCCTGTTTGTTCTATCAATATCTGAGATTAGTAGAAGAAAAAATAAATTTAGTAAACACTGAATATTCATTGAACTAGGGTGTATCCCAGAATATTTTCTTTTTTTTAGAAACATTATTATCTAGTGTTAAAATTTAGTCATTAACTTTTTAAATTGCTTTCTTTATTTTTTGTGCTGGTCTTGGGAATTGAACTCAAGGCCTGGATTCTATCCCTGACCTTCTTTTGCTCAAGGTTGGTGCTCTACCCTTTGAGCCACAGCTGTACTTCGAGCTCTTTGGTAGTATATTAGAGATGAGAGTCTCACAGACTTTCCTGCCTAGTCTGGCTTCAAATTGTGATCCTCAGATCTCAGCTTCCTGAGTAGCTAGGATTACAGGTGTGAGCCACCAGTGCCTGGCTTAATCACCAATTTTTTTGAGCCACAACCCATAATATCATTTATATTTGTGATTGCACATGTGTTAATACTATTTCATATAAAAATAATAACATTGATAACTAAGAGAAAGTTACCCCCAAGAAAGCACTTCCCATGCATGCATTAAAGTTTTCAAGTTGCCACTGAACACTAAAATAGTATATAGTAGCCAATATATATTGCTAGTAAGAATAAGCAGACTAAGGTATACAAGAATGTTCTCTGAGCCAGGAAGTACGACTTTGGAAGAGGGTCAGGGGTGAGTCTTTACTCATGTGTTGGGTTTATGGTTTTCAGGGAATTGATGCTGCTTTCCCACCAGAAAAGCATCGGGCAGCTGCAGGAAACCCTTAGACAGAAGCTGCTGAACGATGATAACTGGAAGGAGAAGGTAACGGCGGGCGGCTTTGCTGGGCGCCTGGCTTTGCTGGCTTTGCAGACTCCTGTCTACTTGCCAGAACACTATGCACATGCTTTTCTCTTGTGCTTCTCCCTGAAATCTCCAGCACCAAATGTTCTTAGGATGATTGTATTTTTCAATACTAGCAATGTCATGGGACATCAAAAGTAAACATAGATCTTGAAATTTTGTAGAAATCAAGCCCTTAGTTTGCATTGGGAAATGAAAGTTTAGCTTTCAGATGTTTCCTTTTCTCCCACCACAATCTGTGTTTTACTACATTCTTAAAAGCAAGGGAATATTAATCCATATACCTTCTCTACTTCTAAGGAGATATAATGTAAGAGAATGAAAAATTACTTAAAAGTTATTCAGTTATGAACTTCTGACATTTGCTCTGCAACAGTAAAATGAACATTTAGCTTGCCATTAACTCAGAGGTTCAACAATGCACATTTGTTATTTTAATCATTTTAAAGTCATATTTTTAAAAATATAACTAATTTTATTTAATATTTATATATTTAATATGTATTAATAAATATTACATAATCATAGTCATATTAGAAATATGACTTTAATTTTTTTAAAAAATCATTAGTCCCCACCATCCAGACTTCACACATAGGTCAGTCACATGTCAGTGGTAATCAACCCCTCCCTGCCCCAAACTTCCAGGACTGCTGAGTGGCCAGGCCTGTCCTGCATACAGAGCCCCAGCCTTCCCCTCTCTTCTGATTTTTCTTCTGTTTGTTTCTTGCCATGCTGGGGTTGAACCAGGGCCTTGATGTGCTAGGCAAGTGCTCGGCCAAGCTTCAGCCCCAACTGGAGTTTCCTTAGTGTGTCTCAAACTTTTCTCTAGAACCTGGAGCTGGCTATACAACAAGAACCATAGATTCTTCCCCTTGAGGCCCAACTTCTGTACCTACAGCAAGCAAGTGGCCTCCCTTCTCCTGACATCTCCCCAGGAATCCTCACCCTGCCACCCAGCAGATGGAGGCCTTCTGGTCATTGTTGCTGGCTCAGTCACTTCTAAATTCATCACTTCTGTTTCTAATCATCAAAATACCCTACTTGTACCAGCCCTCTGCAAAGCAATGCTTCTTTCCTGTGTCTTTGAATGTGCAGTCAAGCTAAAATATAAAATGATCATTGTAGAATAAGATTTTAGAATGTGGAGGAAGTTGCTCTCTCTAGTTTATACCTTGTTGTATATAGCTCAGGCTTTTTCTCTTCCTTCTTCGCTAAGCCCCATGCTGCTTTAATTCTAATGTTCATGCATTGTAGTGTACTCATTAGCTGGTCTGTTCTTATTCATCTCCCCTACTCCTCCTAGCAACCCATGTTTAAGATTTTAAAAAAGAAGACAGTCAACTTAATATTCAAAACAAAAGACTTATCTTTAAACCCATTCAATTACTAAGATTTTTTAATACCTTGGTGAAAGTCTAGTAGAATAGTCTTTCTACTTACTCTTTAAGGTACTGAAAATTAAAGCTACGTTTTGGAAATTAGTTTGTCAATATGTATCACAGGATATTGTAAATGTCCATCTTTTGACTTAGAAATTTCTCTGATGGAATCAACCTGGGTAGAGATTTAATAGGTTCTACCTTTCTTCAAACTCCTAACCTCCTCCACTTAAACTGGTGGAGTGACCTTCCTGCCTTGGCTTGAATAGAAGTTCCCATGTCCATATGAACACCCATTATGGAGAAGAGGTCATTAGGAACAGTATCACCCACTCTAGAGTTCCTGTTCATTGTCCCCTGCCCCCCACATTTCTAATAGAGTAAAATCAAGCTCATGGTAGCATTTGGCCATATAAAAGCTTTTGTGTTTATGCCTTATGTGCAGTTAACTGGTGATGAAATAATATCACGTAATATTTCTGAAGTTCTTTCTAATCAATTGTAGCACAGATGTCTTTTGGCATGTATAATTTCTGTAGTATAAGTGGACATTTCATTTTGCTGAAAGAACATGACTTGTTAATAAATGTCATCATTTAGCCAGCAGTAAATCAAGATTCAGATTAGTGAAGCCAGGAGATGATAATTATATCTTGGCTGTGTCAGCTATTGAGACTCTGAATAAAAAGTTCCCTAAAAGTCCTCTCGTGAGAAAAAAGAATCACTAATATGACATTGTAGTCTCTTTCTTGGGTCACTGTGCCTTTGCGTAGGAATGAAATGTTCTCTTTACAAATATATAATACACATATTAGAATAAATTTCGTAACTTAAATGCTTTTAACATTTAAAAAGTGGATAGAAGTTTGTGTCTGTGCTTAATTATTTTAGAGTATGTAAAAAGCACATAATAGGACCAAATAGTTGCTATGCAACAAGAATGGCACATTTTTAAATAACTACATTTACTAATTGCCAGTGATCTTTGTTGATTTCAAGTATGCTTGGATGCAAAGAGAGAAAATTAATGTGCATGATGAACCTGGAAACCTTGTTCCAAATGCATAATGCTGTTACTATTTAGTTACCATTTTGTGGTTAAAAAATCTCCGATAACCAGAGTGCTTACCTAATAACCCCTTCCCTTTACTTCTTGACTGTTACTTTTGAGTGCAGTCGACAAATTTCAACTGAGCATTTTCATAGATTATCCAGATATTACATTTAGAAACATTTTAGAATTGCACCAATTGGCCTCATTTTAAACAACAAAACCACAAAAATCTTACTTCCTGACTAGAGTAAATGGATTGGCAGTAAAAGCGCAAGGGGGAAAACGTTTACTTCAAGAAATAGAAAATTCTGAGTTTGACAGGAGGCGGAACGAAACCTCAGCCTCTTCAAGTGGAAGAGGCAGCGAGTAGATGAAGCCAAGAGCAGTGAGGTTTAGGACTGACACTGGGCCGGGATGCATGCGGTCACTGCGGCTATGTGTGTGGACGTGTGTAAGGTGCACGACCGACACGGCATTGACGGCGCAGCTAACCATCCAAGCTGGGCAGTGGAGCCCATCTGTCCGCCCAGCGCGGCCGAGGCCCAGCGGCCAGGCCGGGCCAGGCGGGGCTTGGGGGGGCACTGGAGTGGTTAACCATCCAAGCTGGGCAGTGGAGCCGATCCGTCCACCCAGCGTGGCCGAGGCCCAGCGGCCAGGCCAGGCCAGGCGGGGGGATGCGGGGGGCACTGGAGAGGCCTGGCTGGAGCTGGGGCTGCGCGCAGCCCCGCACAGCCTCTGCTGCCCAGCCCACCCTTCAGGCGACCTTCACCCCCACGCCATGTCACTGGCTGTGTCCGCACAGGCCTGGCGGTGAGTGGTGACGGTTAGTGGTGCACTGAGAAATTACTAGAACGCTGGGTGGAGCGTTGGAGTAAGGAGGCTGGCCAGCGGTGAGGGAGCGGTGGAGACCCGCATGGACGCCAGCCTCTCTGGATAGTGCAGACGCAGGGGTGGAAGGGTGAAAGCCAAGGGGTGGGCTGCTGGGTGGGACGCCTGGGTAGTCCATGGCGCTTCAATGAGGGCGGGCCTGTGGGCGGGGCCGCACAGAGGGGCGGGCTAGTGGGCGGGGCCGCGCAGAGGGGCGGGCCTCTAGGTGGGGGCGTGTCGAGGGAAAGGTGGGGCCTGTGGAGGGGCGGTGCTATGGGCGGGGCCTTGGAGGGCGTGTTGAGGGGAAGGTGGGGCCATGGAAGAGTGGGCCTGTGGGCGGGGCCGTGTGGAGGGGCGGGCCTGTGGGCGGGGCCTTGGAGGGGGGCCTCTGGGTGGGGGGGGCTGTTGAGGGGAGGGATGGGGCCATGTGGAAGATCGGGCCTGTGGGCGGGGCTGTGTGGAGGGGCGGGCCCGTGGACGGGCCATGTCGAGGGGCGGCCTGTGGGCTGCCAGAGATGAGTGGGTGCAAGGGTCTGCCATTCGGAGGGCTCCTTGCCAGCACCCCAAAGTTTCCTTGGTCTTTAGCAGTCAGAGAACTGCCTATTGGAACAATTCTGTCAAGTCCCAAAGACGGTCGGTCACCTTTAATCCAGACATCCCAAGACTGAGGCGGAGGACCGCCACCCGTGCGGCCCGGCAGTGTCCCGAGAAGCTGGGGTGGGTCCCTGGCTGTCACTCTCCCGTGCTCTCCCGATTTACCCCTCCTGAGTGCGTGGACCATCACGGACGGCTGTGAGTCTGGAGCTCTGGAGCGACTGTCAAGCCCGTGAGCGCACTACCTGTAGCCCACGCTGCCCTCATGCTGTGACCCCGCCTTGTCCGGCGGTCTGTCAGGGGACCAAGTTGCGGCCTAGTGCGTAGTCTCTGGTGGAGAGTCCTGCCGGGAGGAGGGAGGAGGAGCACCGGCAGCGCATGGCCGCGTGCGTGAGCCCTGTGGCCTGCTCCCCCTCCGCCCTGACCGCTCACTCGAGCCCTTGCTGCTGCTTTCTGTGAGTCACACAGCGTGCAAGGCCGAGCCAGGGAATTTCTAGAGCCTTCTGTCCCACTGGTGCTGTCTGAGTCAAACTGTGATGCCTGTATCACTGTCTGTGGCACTGTCTGTTACTCACCCTTCCAGCTTCAGTCACATTTAAAAAGGCAATCTGTGTCCAAAAAAATTTGAAAAGTCAACTTTTGTACATTCTATCTCCTCTGAGTTTTCAGCTGGACTTAGTCTATCATCCTAAAGTATGTGTGTGTGTATGTGTGTGTGTGTAAGGGTGGTTATTGAGGACTGAGTTTACAGTATAGGTAACTAATCTTAGTCATTAAGTGATTCAGCTTTTAGTATTTCTGAAAACGGTCATAATACAGTCCTAATTTCTCTACTGATTTTTCAGATTCAAGAAGGTCTTAGATCTTGGGATCTTACTCTAAGGTCAATGTTCTGGCACACAGCTAATGTTAACGTTTTATTTCTTTCATTAGAGTATGAGAATAAGTTTTATATGTACTTAATGTTATTTTTAGATTGAAGCTGAAATCGCCAAGGAAAGAGCCCAACATTTGGTTGAATTCCAGGAGCAAGCTCTTCTCTTTAAGGAAGAGGCAAAACTGGAACTTGATATTGAAAAAGAAAAACACCAGGAAATAATCCAAAAATATAAGAAAGAGCATGAAGAGCTGCAGGCAAAGGTCTGTAGCTATGTCCATCATATAATGTGTTTGAAATTACAGATGTTGGAATTTCCTTCTAAGAACATGGCAGTATCTGCCACCAGTAACTGTCCTTATGGTTGTTGGGCCATGGTTTAGCCACATAGGTAAACTAGTTCGGCTATTCTCTGGCCTGTGGTGATGAAGATAAATGGCATAAGTGTATAATTCAGCTATGAATGGATTTATTTTCCTTTACTAAAATAAACTTACCTTTAGAACAGCAATAAGCACATGGCTATTCTGACAACACCTCAAATACCCAGAATAATAATATCCAAATGGTAAGATGTTTTACATTTCCCAATAAAGCATACCTTTTTTCCTTTCCTTTTCTTTTTTTTTTTTTTTGTGGTGCCAATCCTAACACTTAAACTCACAGCCTGGGTCTATAGCACTCAACCCTTTGAGCCACAGCTCCATTTCTGGCTTGCTTTGTAGCTAATTGGAGGTAAGAGTTTCACAGACTTTCCTGTCGAGGCTATCTTTCAACTGCACTCCTCAGATCTCAGACTCTTGAATAACTAGAATTACAGGCATGAGCCACCAGCACCAGGCTCAAAACATTTTTTGAATGAAGAATAATATTCTGTAGATGTAATTATACATCCCTATTTGTTAAAGTCTCCCTGGTGGTGGTATCTGTTTTATTTGCTTGGTTTTTTTTTTTTTTTGGTCCGGTTGTGGGGCCTGAACTCTGGGCCTGGGCGCTGTCCCTCAGCTCTTCAGCTCAAGGCTAGCGCTCTACCACTTGAGCCACAGCGCCACTTGCGGCTTTTTTCTTTTTGCTTATGTGGTGCTGAGGAATCGTCCCTCAGCTCTTCAGCTCAAGGCTAGCGCTCTACCACTTGAGCCACAGCGCCACTTGCGGCTTTTTTCTTTTTGCTTATGTGGTGCTGAGGAATCGTACCCAGGGCCTCAGGCATGCAAGGCAAGTGCTCTACCACTGAGCCATCTTCCCAGCCCCTATTTGCCTGTTTTATGAGACATCATCTAGCTATGTAGCCCAGGCTGGCCTCAAATTCACAAACTTTGGGTCTCAGCTTCCTGAGTGCTAGGATTATAAACTTGTATACAAAACTCAGCAGTGTATCCCTGTTGTGTGTAGTGTTTGTGTGTGTGTGTGTGTGTGTGTGTGTGTGTGTGTGTGTGTGCACATATGCCAGTCCTGGGGCTTGAACTCAGGGCCATGGCTCTGTCCCCGAGATTTTGTGCTCAAGGCTAGAATTATACCAGTTGAGCGACAGTTCTACATTTGGCTTTTTGGTGGTTCATTGGAGATAAAAATCTCAGAGACTTTCTTGCCAAGGCTGGCTTAGAACTATGATCTCCAGATTTCAGCCTCCCCAGTAGCTAGGATTACAGTTGTGAGCACTGGTGCCCAGCTTTAGTCCCTGTTTTCACAGCCTCTAAGTATAGAATATGTATGTGTATCAGTCAAGTCTTACTGGAGTGAATAAATTCACTAAGAGCCCATGTTAATTGAGCATCTGATGAACCTAATACCCTGCCCTTGTGTGAAGGAGATACAGTTCAGCCATTTCAGTGGTTCACTGAAAACAATAATTAAGTAGGACCACCCACCAGTATATGACCAGTGTAGTAAAACAGGACCTCTTAGTCAGAAAGGGCTCCTGCTTTGGACTTAATGCTGTGCAGATGCTGCCTGACACTCTTGATCATTTTACCTTTGAATCTGTGAGATGGCAGACCATCTACTGTAACTTGGAACCTTGACTGACCTAAAGTTTTGGCCAACGCTAGCCAGGTCCTCACCCCTAACTTCGTACCCGCTTCCCCCACCTGGTGACTGGTTGTAATCCTGGTTCAGAATCCCATGGTTAGAGAAGTCATGAGGCAGAGCAAGGTCATGTGATTCTCAAGAGCAGTCAAAAGTCCAGGTATTGCAAGTAAAATCCCCTGGTTTTAAAATGTTCACACACACACACACACACACACACACACACTAAAAACATATTTGTTGTTCTGCACCCCAGGGACAATTTGTTCTATTCCAGTGTCAGAACTACTGTTCAGACCTGGCAGTGACCATCTTCCCTCCTGAGTTAGCTGAAAATAATAGAATATTAATTTATAAAGTGACTAACTCTGGTGAATAGATTTCTCCCAAAAGCTGTTTTTTATGTAAATTTAACATTTGAAATAAATTTTGGATACATAATTCTTTTTAAGTAATAGCTCAAAAAGTCCTTAGAGCTTTGGTCTAGGAATGTTTTCCAGATTCTTTGTGGACTAGTTTCTTGTTAAGCTAATTATTTGTAAGATGACAACATCTGTCGCATAAATAATAAGGATAAGCTTCATCAGAACTATGTGATTGTTCTTCTGTTCTTTGTTTTGTAAGGAGGAAGATAAATCTTTTCTTCTAAAAGGGAAATGTTCCCTTCATGCCATGAGGAAAAGCTTTTCTTACCCCCTCACTTATTTATCTAGAAGTACAACCAAGAAAAGCAGCACATGATCACAGTATTCTGCTATTGTCTAGTGTTGCAACATCATTATGGCAGCCATATGTGGCCTGTATTTCCAAAAAATTCATTCAGCTTTCATAAACTTGAATGTTTGGGCTCCAGCCACAGTCACATTTCAAATGTTGGGTGGTCGGTAATGGCTTTTAAGAGCCTGTCACAGCATCTCGTTGGTAGTGTCACATCCAGAGATGTGGAAGGAGTGTTTACACCATGGAAATTAAATATAATTTTGGCTTTTACTTTGTTTTCCTTTTTTATGCCAGTCTTGGAGCTTCTGTACTCAAGGCTAGCACTCTAGTACTTGCGACACAATTCTACTTCAAGATTTTTTTGGTGGTTAAGTGGAGATAAAACTTCCTGCTCTGGCTGGCTTTGAACTGCAATTCTCTGGTCTCAGCCTTCTGAGTATCTAGGATTATAGACATGAGCCCCTGGAGCCAGGCTTTGGCTTTTATTTTTAAAGAGACTGTTGTTACCATCATTTTATATAGCTAGTGGCCGTAGAGAGCTGCTGGCCACCATTCTGGATAGTGCAGAATATTTCTATCATTTCAAGAAATTCTGTGTGACAGAGCTCTTCAAGAAGCATGCAGAGCAGCCTGGTGCTGCTGGCTCACGCCTGTAATCATAGCTACTCAGGAGGCTGAAATCTGAGGACCCTGGTTCAAAGTCAGCTTGGGCAGGAAAGTCCGTGAGACTCTTATCTCCCTTTAACCACCAGAAAACTGGAAGTGGCTCTGTGGCTCAAGTGGTAGAGCGTGCTACCCTTGAGCTGAAGAGCTCAGGGACAGTGCTCAGGCCCACAGTTCAAGCCCCATGACCAACAAAAGAGAAAGAAAGGAAGGGAGGGAGGGAGGGAGGGGGGAGAGAGGAAGGAAGGAAAATAAAAGAAACAAACGTGCAGTGCTTGGGGCCTTCCAGCCAGGACATACATGAAGGAAGCCCAGTGACACCACGAGGAAGATTTACTTGTTGGTAAGAGTGAAGTAGCTGTAGCACACTCATGTCTCCAAACATCAGGCATTTTGAGGTCCCAAAGCCAGCCTAGTTAGGACTATCCAGGCCCCTGGTCTACTTGACAAGATTCGAGCCATTCTTGGCAGCTCAAGATAGTCACCAAGATTTGTGTATTTCCAGGGGTACAAAGTGATGAATGCCATTCCATTTTACATGGAAAAAGAAAAGTGTGTTATCTTTTAAGAAAAAAATCCTGAAAGCCTGGATATGTCCTAGGGTTTATTTTCATCTAGTTAAAAACTTGCACACTGGTTTATTAAAATAAATTGCTTAAAAACCATAAGAGCTCTATAGTTACTTAGAAACTGTCACCTACAAACTAATATGAAATTTGTCTTACAGATACCTGACTTAATCGCAGGTGCTACAAAAGACCTGAGGCTGAAAGTGAGCACCCTTGAAGAACAACTCCATGAGACCCATCAGCGATACGCAGAAAAATCTGAGTCCAAACAAAGAGAAATTGAAACCCTTAAAAATGCAGTTGCAGAATTTGAATCACGCTTCAAGAAGGAAATTGACAGTCATGATACAGTTTCAGAAAACTTGAAGAAGGAAATGAAACAGAAGTCAGATGAGCTGGCGAGAGTGATGTTGGCCCAAACACAGCTGATGCAACAATTTAACCAAACCCAGGAAGAGGTAGGGGCAGACCACCGTCCCTCTGCACGGAGGGTCAGAGTTCACGCTCTCCCAACACACACACACACACACACACACACACACACACACGAAAGGCAGCTTGGGGGCCTGGAAAGAGTCCTGGGCTGTTTGTTAGAGACCGGAAATGGAAACCACATCCTGGCCATCTCTGGGCACCATTTAATCTCTGCGGACCTGGCCCCACTTTGTATAAGATGTTAGACTATATACGCTAATGCCTTCTCAGTGCCCAATTCTGTGTTGCCAAAGACTACTTAAGATGTGAGCTGGACAGGTGGCTCTCGCCCGTAGCCTACACACTCACCAGGAGTCTGAGATCTGAGGATTGAAGTTCAAAGTCAGCCCCAGCAGGAAAGCCCATGAAACTCCCATCTCAAATCAAGCGCACACACACACACACACACACACACACACACACACACACACAAACACACACACACACACACACACACACACAGCCAGGAGTGGAGCTGTGGCTCAACTGGTAGAGTGCTAGCCTAGAGCTAAGAAGCTCAGGGATAGTGCTCAGGCCCTGAGTTCAAGCCAAACCCCAGGACTGACACAAAGCAAACAAAAAAGACTTGTAAGACTAGGAATCTTTACATATTTATGTCTTAACTGCCTTAACATTAAATCTTTGCCAAAGAAAGGTTTAGGGTTCAAGTGCATAAATTAAAAAAGAAATATGGACAATATAAAGATAATTTGACTTTTATAAAGTTTTACATTTCTGTCAAACTGACCTTAAAAGGTAGTAATAAGTGTTAGTATTCTTATGTATGCATCATTGTTTCAGCAGTTGTTTTTTTTTCAGTTGGCTGTGGGGCTTGAACTCAGGGCTTGGCCACTGTCCTGAGCTTCTTTGTGTTTAAGAGCTATACCACTTGAGCCACAGTGCCACTTCCAGTATTTGGTTAATTGGAGATAAGAGTCTCATGGGGACTTTTCTGCCCCAGCTGGCTTCAAACTGTAATTCTCAGATCTCAGCCTCCTGAGTAGCTACAATTAGAGGTGAGCCACCAAGTGCCCAGTTTCAGCAATGTTTTTATTTAAACTGAAATAGGCTCGTTTTGACTTGAAGCTTTTTTCTTTTATTTGTGAAATGCTAGGCAGTTTAGGAACAATGGAACAATTACTTTGTTCTTTAATTACCAACTTTAGATGATAATATTTGATACTATTTATAAGAGTTTAGTAAATAAGACAAATGGGAGATTCTGCATGCTAGTGATAAGTAATGTTTTCGTTGGTTTTATTGGCATCTCAATGAAGAAATACATGGAAAGTACTAGCAATAAATACATCATGTTCTTGCTATATTTAGATTATTGACCAAAATAGAAGATTAGTTTCATCATTACAAATATGAGGTGAAGCTGTTAGAAAGAATTATAAATATAAGATGAAATAGCGAATGGAAGAACAATGCCTAACACAGCTCTGTACAGTAAAAATGTTTGCATGTTACAGATAGGAACTGACTGAAAAACACTGAATAATTTTCCTAAGGTTTTGCAATGTGGTGCAGCCAAGATTCAAATCCGAGTCTCTGTGAGGTCATGGTTCTTTTTTCAGGAGATCTGAGCTCTCCAGATTCTGCTTGTAAATTTCAAGGTGGCCTCAGGCTCATCTCACAACACTTCCTGGCTTCCATTATTTATGCATTTACTTTTTTTTTGAAATTGGACAAGGCCAGAAACAGTGGCTCAGACCTGTGATCACAGCTACTCAGGAGGTAGAGATTAGGAGGATCAAGGTTCAAGGCTATCCCAGGCAAAAAGTTACCAAGACCCTCGTCTTAACCAATAAGTTAGGTATGGTAGTGTATGCCTGTGATTCCAATTACAAGGGAGGTCTAGGTAGGAAACTTGAGGTCCAAGCTTGGTTTGGACTGAGATTCTACTGGCAAAAGGACTAGAAGCATGGCAGAGGACTTGCCTAGCAAGCATGAGGCCTGGAGTTTTCAAACTCTAATAATATGAACAACCATAAAATATACAAATAAGTGTCTATTCTCACTATAATAGAGAAGAGAAAAACTGTCATCCTGTCATTTTTTAAAGCTAATTATGGATATGCTTAGGAGGTATACCTGAGGTGAAGAAGCACTCTAGGCTTTCCATTAGAAGTTTCCAAAATATCACCTTAATGTTAAATAATTGGAACTAAAATGTAAGTAAATGACTAAGCATGCTGAAGACCAGAACATGCTTATAAAAATAGGACATGAGGCTGGGCGCTGGTGGCTCATGCCTGTAATCCTAGCTACTCAGGAGGCTGAGATCTGAGGATCACGGTTCAAAGCCAGCCCGGGCAGGAAAGTCTGTGAGACTTTTTTTTTTTTTTGTGAGACTCTTATCTCCAATAAACCACTAGAAAACCAGAAGTGGCGCTGTGGCTCAAGCGGTAGAGCACTTGCCTTGGGCTAAAGAGTGCAGGGACAGCGCCCAAGCCCAGAGTTCAAGCCCCACGACCGACCAAAAAAAAAAAAAAATAGGACATGAGCCAATGAAAGCGATAGGACTTATGAACCAGAAAGAGTAGAAGCCACACACAGAGGACACAAAGGGACAGCCACTCCTTGTTTTCAGCCTTCGCCTAGACTCCTGAAGTTTCCCAGGTTCTGAAATAATGCACAGAGAAAGCAAGGTCCCATTAGGACAAGGGTAAATTAACAAGCCAGTGCAGAGAAGGACAGTCCTCTCCATCTCAGGGGAGGAGTGACAGACTTGGTTTTAAATTGCAGAAGAGAGGGCTTGAGGGCAGGAGGAGAGCTGGAACTCTGAATGGCAAGCCAGGGTTATTGGTACAACCCCCAGAACAGGGTTGGGCAGGAAAAACTGCAGTCACCAGGAAGAGAGAATGGAAAATACAGGGTGATGGAGGTAATAGCATAAACAAGGTGCCCCCAAAGTGCTCACTGCACTGTGGAAAAGACACGTGTGAAGAGCAGAAGAGAATGGGAAGTGAGGAAGTAGTAACTCTGAGAACAGCGCACGACCCTTCCAGCAGGGTTCAAACGGAAATCCAGGTTCTTGGTGTCCAAGCTTTCTGGGATCCTATCAAGAGAGTATGACCAGGGTCCAGAGAAGAAGATGGATAGATTCAAAACAAAACAAAACAAAAAGCTCCAAAGGAGTTTTAACATCTTCTTGTTTTAAGACCACAGTGTTGGGCATGGTGGTGCACACTTATAACCCCCAGCAACTTGGGAGGCTGAGGCAGGAAGATCGAATTTGAAGTTAGACTAGACTATATAGTAGATTCAAGAACAGGCAAGCTGCAAAGTGAAAAATGAAACAAACCCACACAGGGAGAAAGGATCAGGAGTTTACTTTCTCCAGTTTCTGCAGCCTAAAGATACTCATAGAAAGTAAAAATCAAAGCTTATTGGAAGTGGAGGTGTGGCCACAAGTAGTAGAGCACAAACCTTAAGGGGAAAAAAAAACTGAGCAAGAACGAGAGGTGCTGAGTTCAAGCCCCAGCACCAGAACAAAAATATGTTCTCAGTTAAACATGGAGGATGGAACCGATATGCTTATCTCTCTACTTCATCTTATCAGCATGAAATGGCAATAAAGTAATAAAAGTGAACAAATGCATAAGGACAGACAGAGCAAGAGAGGAGTTGACACGATGAAAAAAGATGTTGATAAATTTTGGAAAATGGAAAACAAGATGGCTGAGTGGTAACTAACCTGAAGAACTATGGAATATTGAAATCTGATGTGTGTGTGTGGAGGGAGAGGTGAGGGACCAAGAGATGCAAATCTGAGCATGTGACACAGCACAGGCAGGCCAGGAAGACTGTGAAGACAAACAGATGCTCAGGTGCCTCCCCCTTCTCGGGCCCACTAGGGAACGGGAGGCCAGGGTACCAGAGGTTCACCAGTAAAACTGTCAGTCATCAGACTGGAGGACATACAACAGCCAAAAACTGGGGGTGACATCTGTGCTAAATGCACCCCCCCTTACACACTCCCATTCAGAACACCAGCATTCAGGCTAATAACATATCACTAGCAACAAATTGGAAGTGCCTTCTCGGGGATGATCTATGTATACTGAACACGGAGTTATCTCCAAGGAAATGGCTGCACCGCAACCATTCTACCCATCCTGGAATAATAGTCAATAAACCTTACCCAGGTACACACTGGACTTCAGGTCACATTCTGAGGATTCTGTTTTGAACATGAACAGCCAAAGATCACCAAATACTTGAGGATTTTTGTTGTTGTTGTTGGTCGTGGGGCCTGGACTCTGGGCCTGAGCGCTGTCCCTCAGCTCTTCAGCTCAAGGCTAGCTCTCTACCACTTGAGCCACAGTGCCACTTCTAGCTTTTTCTGCCTATGTGGTACTGAGGAATCAAACCCAGAGCCTCATACATGCAAGGCAAGCACTCTACCACTGAGCCACCTTCCCAGCCCCAATATTTCTAATTTTTGAAGGACAGAAAACAGAAACAAATAAGCAATAGAAGAACTTAGAAGTAAAAAATAAAAACTACAACCTAATTGTGCCCTTAATCTTCACCATTGATGAACTTTAAACCTGTTCCTAATCTTAATCTTAACCATAATCTCTAGTGGCTCCTAACCTTATTCCTAATTATAACCCCACCCTAACGCTAATTTGAACACTTAACTCAAATCCCACAGCCTAAACCTAATGTAATTCTAACTCTAAGTCTAATGCCAAATCCTAACCTTATCCTTTGTCCCTTATAAATCCTAACCATCTTCACAAACCTAACCCTACCTCTAATTCTTGTCTTAACCCTAATCCTAACCTAAACCCCCAACTAATCCAGGCCATAATGCCTAATTCCAACACTAATCCAAATTACTGATAAACTCTAACCTTATTCCTAATTCTAACCCCAAACCTAACCTTAACTGACACTGAAACAACTCAAATCCTAAACTAAACCTAATATTCATTCCAATGCCTAAGTCAAACCTCAAGCCTTAATCCTGATCAAACACAACCTTTTGGGTAATGCTAACCCTAAACCTAGCCCTCATTCTCACTAATGCTAACTGTAACCCAGTCGGAGGGATAAACATCCGTCTCCAGAGCATCTGTTTCATTATGTCTGCTGTCTATAGTTGACGTAACTGTTTTCAAGCACAGAATTACAATTTCAAGAACAACACGCTAGCCATCTCACTGTGCCTTACCCAAAGGTCGTTTCCATGTTTTCTGCAGCTCGAGGCTGAACAGATGAAGTGAGCAGAAGCAGCCTTGGGATGGAAGTAGGGCCCACTTGGCTAACTCTGCCAGTGCTTCTGCTTTCTGTGCCTTTTCTACAGCTCCCCCACCCAGCTGGCCGGCCACCCCCTCCCCACCCCAGGGTGACATCCAGTTAGAATTGATGAAAACTGCAGCCTGATCTCTCCATGAGTGGCACAGAACAGGAGCAAGCCCCCTTCACGGAGGACCTCTTCGCGGGCTCAGTCACCAACATGGTGCCAAGTACAGCTGATTCCAGAACACCCCAAGCAGGCATCTCACCTTCAGAATGATGGAGTTACCCAGCAAAGCCTTCTGCTTCTTTCACTGCTTCTGGAACTGAAAGCAACCCAGCTGTCTCAAAGGATAAAAATGAAAACAAACATAAAAATAAACCTACTCTTACTTTGCAGAGATTGGGGGAAATTAGCCATCTCTTAATATTAGAAATTTAAAACAGATGGTGAGCTAATTTATATGTTCATTTTGACATTTACCTCCTCAGTGGGAGTGCAATTAGGCCATATTTTAAGCCCATTTAAAGTGGCTTTTGTCTACGGTGTTACAGAGATAGCTTTAGATGATGCTCAACACCTGTGTGCAAAGTGCCAGGGCCTGGGACTGCGCGTGGGGTCTCCAGGCACCTCACACAGGGATGCAGGGACACTGGGACAGAGATCCCCGTGACAGCTCTGGCCCATGCTGGCCTCCTGCCTCCCACCTTACCCAGCTCCACATCCTTTTCCAGGGCTGGCAAAAGAGCTTTCCATCCGGCAGATTTGATCACACCAGCCACCTGCCTGACAAAGACCTTCCAATGACTCCATCTGGCCCGCAGAGTGAAGTCAAACTCCAGTGTTCAAGGGTTGCCAAATTCCTCCTGAATCTAACTGAGATCTGAGCACCTGCAGCCTGCATCTCCCTGGGCCAACATGTGCCTCATTCTTTTTTGCTCCACCTGGAAAACCTCAGACTCTTTCTCACCACTCCAGCCTCTCGTTTAATTTTGACTTCCAGTTCATGGTGCCATAATGAAACCCAGCCAAAGACAATTTTGTCTAAAACATATAAAGTTCTGTGGTGTGGCATCACTGATATTGCTCATGTTTGTCGACAGGTTTTCATCTTACAATTATTCCATCACGCTTATCCATGTTCAGTGAAAATACGTACTAGATTCCTGTGACAACTCAGCCTTCCTCTTGTGTAAATTGCTGCAAATAATCCAGGCACAAGTGATGAATCTTTCTCCATATGATGGAATTTTCCACTTGTGACTAATGACAATCCACATGTCCTCTTCTCTTCTCCCGCACCACTTCTGAAATAGCCACGCTTTCCATGTCCATTGTTGACCCTAAGATTGAACAAATGATAACAAACTGCCTGTTGGGCAAAACTGAGCTGTAATCTAGATGTTTAAAAAAGGAGGTAATGGTGGCAGGAGGCATGAAGACATTATCAGAGTCCCTGAAGAGTTCATCATGTGTGAACAGACAGAAATAAAAGTCCCTGTGTTCCGCTCAGGATCCTCCTCGTTCACAAAGTAACAGGAGAATGAATCCTCCATTCTGCAAGCTAACTGCCTTAACCATGGGTGAGCTCCCTCCCAAGCAGCTGGTCCACACACGTGAGGAGCCTGTGGTAGACTCAGACCTGGCAGGGCAGAGAGCTTTCTCTCTGGGGTATGACTTTGTCACTTACTCCACCTGTGCCTTTCCCCTGTCACTTGCCCAAACAGTTCTTCAGTGACTTGCCTCATGGATGTTTTCTGTCAAGTACCATTCCTGTACTTGAAGGCCTGCATTTCCTTTTACTAAGTTTTCTGGTTTTTAAAGGAGGGCTCTTGTCCTCACACAGGTGTCAATCAACCTGTCTTTTCATGAAATGACCCCATCATTCAGGTCACCAATTTGTTGACATCATTCACTACTGTCTGTTTTTTTTTTTTTTTTTGTCCTGGAGCTTGAACTCTGGGCCTGGGCGCTGTCCCTCAGCTCTTCAGCTCAAAGTTAGCACTCTACCACTTGAGCCACAGTGCCACTTCCGGTTTTCTGGTGGTTTATTGGAGATAAAAATCTCATGGCTTTTCTGCCTGAGCTGGCTTTGAACCTCAATTCTTAGATCTCAGTGTCCTGAGTAGCTAAGATTACAGATGTGAGCCACTGGCGCCTGGCCATTTTTTATTTTATATATTCCAATAAAATTAGCTCCTCATAGTGTTCTTAATCAAGGGTATTTTTATATTAATCCACTGAGGTCCACTTAAAGCTGATCACCAGCTTACTGTACCACTGAAACAGTGCCTTGGGAATTTTGCCTTTTTTTTTTTTTTAAGTGCCGGTCCTGGGGTTTAAACTCAGGGCCTGGGCACTCTTCCCTTGAGAGCAGAAGCCTGCTGAGGGATCCTTAGGTCACTGAGCATGTATCCCCCCAAAGGGAGCCAGTGTTCTCTCTCTTTCCTGACTCATAATGTAAGTGATTTGTCCCCTACATATTCCCCTGCAATGTGTCACCCTCTCCAGGGGCCCAGAGCACTGGGTTCACAGAAACTTATAGAACAATGAGCCAGAGTCAACATTTCTTCTTTATAAACCCGTTGCCTGATAATTTGTTTCAGTAATGTGGAGATGACTAATATAGACTGCACCCACCATAGCATACTGAAATTTGATCAATGTTTCTGGTTTGTTTGTTTGTTTTTTGTGGTAGTATTGGAGTTTGAACTCCGGTCCTTGCTCTTGCTACCACTAGAGCCACACCCTCAGCCATTTTTTTTATGTTGTTATTTTTGAACTAGGGTCTCATGTTTTTGCTTGGGCTTGCCTTGGCCTATAATCTACCTTCCTGTACCTCCCTTGTAGCTGGGACCACAGACATATGCCACCATGTCCAATTTGTTTGTTTAGATGGAATCTTGGTAACCTTTTTCCAACTGGCCTTGAACTGCAACCCCCCCAGTTCACTCTTAGGTAGCTGAGATGAGCCCCTGTGCCTAGCCCAAATGATTTCTGAATGGAGTTAAAAGCAGCAGGTGTTTTTAGTATAGTATTTTACAAAATGACAGATGAGCAAACACAAATAACTGATTTTACTATTTAAATACTGGAGCTGATCTGTTTTGCTGTTCTTCCAATCTTATAGTTCAAGCCCTTTTACTTGTTTTCCTTATTATTGCTGTGTACCTTCACTATAAAATTACAAAAAGAACACAGTCTACAACTGTGAGTATCGACGGCGGGTACCGGCACTCTCTTGTCTGAGACAGGAGGCAGAGAAGCTGCAGCCCCATGGCAGAGGCATCAGAAGTCAGAGGTTTGAATCCCAGGCTCACCACTACCAGGTCCCTCGGCCATTCTGCCTTCTGGGTCTTCTGCAGATGGCTGGGGTTGGGCCTAATATTTTCTTCAAGCTTCTCTTCCTGCTGGGCAGGGCTGGGGTTTGAACTGGCCGGCCCCGCCAGCCCCTCTGTGTGGCGCATGCGCGTGCACCTATGCCTGTCCTAGAGCTTGGAGGCGGGCTGGGCGCTGTCCCTAGACATTTTTGCTCAAGGCTGGGCCTTGCCACTCGGGCCGCAGCTCCGCGTCTGGCTCTTTGGAGGTCGGTTGGAGACGAGAGTCTGGCGGGCTTTTCCTTGCTCAGCCTGGCTTTGAACTGCCATCTGCAGAGCTCAGCCTGGAGCGCAGGCTGGCGCCTGCGGGCGGGCGTGGGTGGGAGCCGGGCGCCTCCTCTGTCTTTCAGAACGCCCTGCTCGAGGAGACTGTGCGGAGGGAGTGCGAGGAGCGCTTCGAGCTGACGGAGGCGCTGGGCCGCGCGCGCGAGCAGCTGCTGGAGCTCCGGA